CCATTGTGTTATGACACGCTATGGGAACATCATTATTGTAGCATCAAAAAATTTATAAAGGAACCAGTATGAGGTGTCTTGAGATTGCACGAGGTGGCAATCGCCAGTACGAGGTGTCTCGAGATTGCACGAGGTGGCAATCGCCAGTATGAGGTGTCTCAAGATTGCACGAGGTGGCAATCGCCAGTATGAGGTGTCTCGAGATGGCACGAGGTGGCAATCGTCAGTATGAGGCGTCTCGAGCTGCCACGAGGTGGCAATCGCCAGTATGAGGTGTCTATGAGGTGGCAAGCACCAGCATGAGGTGTCCCATGATAGCATGAGGTGTCCCATGATAACATGAGGTGGCCCTTAAAAATGACACATGGATGCCATGTGTTGAATCTAGGTTGAGCCCCACACTTATAAATACCCCATCAGCCCATAAACTAAGCCATCAACTGGTTTTGTCTCTCTCCTCTCCAATGGGATTTTCTCTCTACTTAAGCACCTTTGATTCAAGTTCCACTTCGGCAACAATAATACCATATTCATCTCAAAGTGACCCATGGGTGGTTTCATTTTTCCTGTAAAATCATTATTTGAAGAAAACCGATATTCCTATAGTATTCCCAGAAATAATTTTGCATTTAATCATAATATTTCTGAAACTATAAGTTTTACATATGTCCATATATAACTATAATATTTGTAGCATAAATCTTAGATACTGAAAATGTTATATATATGCAAATATTATGTGTTATATGCACGGGTTATGTACAAGTGTTATGTGCAAGTAATTACTTTGAATTATTTTATGGAAAAGCATTGTTGTCTGACATCTACTACATTGATATATAGCCTACAATTGACATAATAAGGTCTTTTGAATTGATATGCATGATAGTATGACATAGTGATGCCTCTCATGATTATATGTACAACATAGAAATGTTGAGGTTCCTTGTAATTACATATGAGACATGCTATTGATAAGATATGTGTACATGGCAACATGCTTCTAAATAAGATATGTGTGCATGGCAACATGCTTCTAATAAGATATGTGTGCATGGCAGCATGCTTCTGATAAGATACGTGTGCATAGCAGCATGTTTTTAATAAGATAGGTGTGCATGTTAACATGTTATTAATAAAATATGAGCGCATGAAGACATGCATCTGTTATGATATGATGAGATACTTCTGCCGACAATCATGATTTATCCTTACTCTCTATGATAGGATGAGAGTTAGGATTGGGTTGTGTTTGGGAGGTTGCAACACCAAAACTTATGTGAGCCACGACTCATTGGGACCCCTTTTGGTAGTGTAACGCTATCTCGCCAGAAGGGCACATGAGAGGGCCGTGTCTTGCAAGGTCAGTGCCTATCAAAAAGCCCCAATGCACGCTGAGTGTATGAGCGAGAGAGAAGATGTGGGGAGAAAGAGGAAGAAGATCTCGAAAGAGGAAGCAGAGAGGTCAGGAGAGAGAGAGGTGAAAGAGAGTTGCGTGACAGAAAGAGGAGAAAGAGTGGCGTGATCCCCCTATGGGATCAGTCGCATATATTTTCTATATTGATGTGAAAAATTACAAGAAATGCCCTTGTATAAGTAAATAACTCACACATAACCCTATTGAATCAATATTCCATTTAGGCCCCTTACTGGCTACTGCACTTTCAACATCTATATCATATGACTAGATCCTATTCATCACAGTCCCCTTCATCTTGATGCTCATTAATGAAATCACTGTAATTTTTGAATTTTCATTAGTTTCCTCTAATTGTTTTGGCAATCATTTTAATATTTACAACAGGAAGTTTGTGTTTGTATTAAATTAGCTTGTTTTCATTGTATACATGATTAAGACTCTCTTAGACTTGGTCTTGTGCTGTTTCTTGAATTACTTCCCTACAGTGAGTTACATCTGCTACATTATAATCGTTCGCTGATTTCATTCACTGCATACATTTCAATGTTATATTTTGGGAGATGCTTAGCATGTGAAATGCAGTGTGTAGAGTCCCTCCTTTGATATGGCACTGAGTAGTTTTTTAAAAACTTTGCAGATCTTCACCAGCAGTTATGATGGGTTTATCCGGCTGATGAATGTCGAGGAGGGAAAATTTGATATGGTTTACAATTGCAATGATGAGATTTTTGCTCTTTCGGCTCGGACTTGTGACAGTAATTCCTTATATTTTGCTGAGGGTCAAGGGGAATTTAAGGTTTGGGATGAGAGAACAAAAGGCATCTCAACCTCATATTCCTTACATTCTCAGAGGATTAACAGTATAGATTTTAATCCAGAAAACAACAACATGATGTGCACTAGCTCCTCCGACGGGAAAGCTTGCATCTGGGATCTTAGATGTATCAGAAATGATCCATTACAAATAGTCAAGCATCAAAGGGCTATTCATTCTGCGTTCTTTTCCCCCAGTGGCAAATATCTCGCTACAACGAGGTTAGTTGATTCTTTATTGTGGACATAAATTTTAATGACCAGGTGGCATGGTTTATACATCTCAATTCTATGTAGTGGAAATTGCTGATTGAGGATCTTTCCATAATTAGGGTTGTTTCTTCATGCCATTCATTTATTATAGTAATCAAGGAGGACAAAGTCGGCCGCCCAGCAGCCTAGACGGCCTGGCCAACAACAGCCTAGGCGGACATGCTCGAGGTGCTGCCAAGGCGCCCACCTAGGCGGCGCCTCGACAACCCTTGGCTGAGGGTAGAAATAGGCTCTCGGTCAAGACATTTCTCGGTCAAGACATTTCTTTGTCATTTTCCCCCCTTGAAAGGGGAAAAGGGTTTTGGAGTGAGTTTTAGATAGAGAAAACCCCTAAAAAAACAATGATTTATCAAGAGAGCAAAAAGGTTCTTAACTTCTGAAGAAATCAAAAGATATTATTCCCAATTCTTTTTGGAGCATGGAGTGGTTGCAAAAGAGGACTTTTGGCAACCAAAAGTCACTGATTTGGGCTGAATTGATTTCATTTTGAAAGGTTAGTGTGTTACCATATTTTTAAATTAGGCTTTTGTTGAAAATGTATGATGATTTGTCATCCTTCCTTATTTTTTTTATATATATATATATTTTTAATAGTTTTGCATTTGGATTATTCTTCCATATTCACTAATCACTAATGGGTTTGATGTGGATTTTTTCATTTTGTTTATTTATTTTTGACTGGGATATCCAATTATAGAAAAAAGACATTAATTTCATGGGAAATTGACATCACATGGACATGATATTGCCAGTGATGATGAAACTCAACCTCATATTTGAGTTCATCATATTTGTCATCTAGTAGACTACCTTATTAGTTTATGCCCTTTGAGTCGTGAGTTATGACTTTTTTTCAGTTATCTGTTGTAAGTGTTAATGGAAAATTAAAATTTGCTAGTTATGGCTGGTAGTGTTCATTCTTTTAATGTTACTTTTAGCTATTCAATTGACAATTCAAAGTCATGCATGTTTAAGTTTGATCTGTAGTTCTGTACTACAAAATTATACACAAAAAACTATAAGACCATGTTTATTAAACAAAAAGAAAAAGGTATTATATACACAAAACCCTGGGGGGTTTTCTTGTGGGGATGGCAGCATCCAATAGTTTGCAAGGGTTTGGAGCCCCCCCATTATGAAGGTCGCCCAGTAATCTGGGCGCCTTCCTAGGTGGCCACCTAAGCAACCAGGACCCCTAGCTGCCTAGGTGGCCACCTTTGCCTTTTTAAACATTGCTAGTAAACAAATGCCTGTTTATCTTTGATAAGTTTTTATTCTAATGTCGATGTTGAAAGAGGTATGATTCAAGAGGTACTAGTTATCACAATATATGCGAAGTGTGTTTGTGAATTTTGTAGAAGCCTATTCACTATGACCACGCTACCAACTCAAAAATAAAGGGGATCAGTAGGCAGCTTTTTTCTTTTTTGGTTGCATCAAGGCCTATCTTCAACATCTCCTTTTACCTTAAGAAAGGTACTCGAAAATGTTTTACCAAGGTGTAAGTAGTATGCTTTAAATAAAAAATGTAGATTTTACTCCAAAATTGTTTACTCTCTATATGACTTTGAATAAGGTCTGATGTTTGATCCATAATTCTTAGGAGTAGGAGCAGGAGTGGTATTGGGAGTGGGAGTTCGTTGCTTGCTAGGACTCTGTCTGATGGGCTTTGGGTTGTTTCATCTGGGCCTTTTTCTATCCGTCTAGGACTCTGTCTGTTGTTTTGGATATGTCTAGATCAATTAAGATATCTTCAGATATATTTTAACATATTTAGGAAATTGGGTAAATTTGCTTATATTTGGTGGTTTTCCTAGGGATTATAGACTACAGGTTATGGTGCTCTAAGGTATACTAGGCTAATTTGATCCCTATGGTTTAGGTTTACAGGTTTATAGGATTTTAGGAATTAGGGCAATAAGCACCAACAATTTGCAATTTATTGTTTAGAGATAATCTTCATCTAGAATTCAAGACAGCTTGACATGCTCATTTGCAACTCATGAATCGGACAAGTGGATCTTTGATGCAGGGAGCCTCTGATACCAATTGTTGCAAGGAAGATGGACAAAAAAAATACAAATCACAAAAAATGTTGAGACATTACACCCTTCTTTTAGTACCAGGGAGTCCACCCCCAAAAAAGAGATCTTTTCACAAGAATCATAAATCAATATTCTTCTCTACTATCTTTACGTGTCCGGCAGTTTCATAATTATAAACGGAAAACCTTAAAACGTAACTTGCTCATTAAGAAGCTCCAACCACAGTTAAATCCTAGCCTTTGAGCTTATTTAAAATCAAACTTCCAACTCTACCTTTGATTTCTTTACCACAAAAAAGGGCTTAATTACAGCTAGAGAGAATTAAAACCTAATTCCATACCTAATTTCAATCCTATAAAAAATAATAAAATAAAAAATTGTTAATGGCATCATTCTCCCATGTTTGGGAGAGCTGGATCATCAAGCTTAAGGAATTGTAAAATTTTCCTTCCTTCTCTTCTCCAATTTGTTAGAAATAGAAAGTTCCAAAAATTTCCTATGAACTTTTGATCGTTGGACTCGATCTAACAAAGTTGTAATATGCCTTGAAAATCAATTGCAAATCTCTTGCATCTCCCACCACTTGTATTTCATGCCTTACAACCAAATTAACTTCCAGAGTGCGCTGTGCTATTTGATTAACGCTTTGATCAGAAGTTGGTTTTTTGTGTATATATATGTATATATACCCATAATTAGCTTCTCTTCTCTCCTTTTCTTGTCTAATGCTTAATATTTATATTAAATAAACCTAATTTGTTCCTTAAGAAACCCTAACCACAATTAAACCTAATCTTTCATCTATTTAAACTTAAAACTTGCAAGTCTACCCATCAATGCTCTACATTGAAAAAAGATATAGTTACACTAAAAAAAAAATTGGAAAGCCAGATGACCCCAAACCTAATTTCAATCTCTTAAAAATAAAAAATAAAAAAATGAGAATCCTTAATCGCATTCATCCTAGTCTAGTTCAACGTGATCAAGAATCTCAAACTTATGCAACATTTGTCTTTTCAGCTGAGTTGGAGAAATAGAAGAAGTTAGAGACAAAATTAATAAAAGATTGTACCCATTAATGTTGATGGATTCTTCTCTTTGAAACGAGATTGGCTATGTAGAGTTCCAAGTATACATTCAATTTTTTTTCTTTTCTTTATTAATAACTGGAATTTCTATTACAATTGAGAAAATACAATGCCAAATTAAACCGACTATAATCTAGGACCTTTAACTCTTACTACTGACTAAAATGTTGTTTAAAACCGAATTCAAACGTACAATAGGAATTCTAATCTAAATAGGAGTCCTTGTCCAAGTAGGAACCTTAATTTAAATAGGAATTCTAATGCAATTATGACTTCTATGAAACAAGAACTAAAAATAAAACTATTAAACAAAATTGGGAGACTTATTAAACCTTTGCCTAGAGTTACTCTCTTAGGAATTAGCACACTCCACACCGAATGATGCACATTCATCCTTTGCTCTTGTTGAATCCTTTGAACTATAAAGTACCTTTGGGATACCCTTATACAAAACTATGGGTTTGAGAGTATAGGCTAAGAAAATTAGGGTTTGTTGACCCTTTTTAATCTCTTGGGGCATATCACTATATGGCATCTCTTCTTAACAATACAACAGCTAGGTGTATTCCCCCTTTTTAATCTAGGTGGATGTGCCACCCTAGGCTGCTATGTGTGGGGCACGCCACCTATAGAGAGGGGAGCGAGAGAGACAACATGGAGAAGAAAGAGAGGAAGGGAGAAGCCTGAAGGTAAGGTGTTAAGAATAGGGGAGGACCTGCCTTCATAGAGGAATCAAGGAACCTTATCCCCTGAATCTTTGACTCATATCCATTCCTAATTAGATTAGAACTAGATCTTCCTTAGTCCCATAAATTTGGACTCTTTACTTGCATACAGATAACTTTTAATATCTTTAGAAATTAAAGTCAACATGAAGATCCAATTTAAAGTATAAAAAATAAAAAATCTACCAACTAAATCTCTTTACAAGATTTCTTCAGAACACTGTAAAAGTTTGGAAATAAGTGGGGCATCCCACCTATGTGGGTCGTGTGGCCCATGTAGACCCCAAGCCCAACCAATGTGGGTTTCCCATGTGTGGGGCTGGGCTGATATATATATATATATATAAGAAGATACTACAAAACGCCTATAGGCGAAAATGAACAGTGATTTCGTCTGCCCTCATCACTGTCCAAAGTTCATCGCACGGTCACTATTGTCCGGTAGTGTTTTATTTTTTTTCTACAAATTAGAATGCTCTGAAATTTGGAGCGTGTGTTCATAAAAAATAGGCGAATCTACGAAAAAATATCAAAAAAATATTTTACATGAAATAAATTGACCAAAATAAAGTTTTTGGGGTATTTTGGCCATTTTTTTCTCGAATTTTTTTTTTTATGTTTTTATTAGGTGCAGCTCATTAAGATGTACACACGCTCCAAATTTCAGATCATTCCGATTTGTATAAAAAAATAAAAAATGAAACACT